TTACCTGATAACAAATGATTACTTACACAACATATTTGATATGGAGAACAGATGCAGAGTGCTTTAACATTTTGTATGGCAGTAGTAGCTCATTCTGTTGGGACTTGGTTGGAAACCTGAGGGTCTTCAGTTGAAGTCTTGGTATGGACCAAAGTATAGAATTAGTTGCTGCTAAGGAGGTGCCAGTTCACTTGCACCTCCAGGTTTTCTTGAGTCACCAAATCTCCAACTGCTAGGCACTCTCTCATGTGCAACCCTCTTACTCTGATATCTCTTCATTAGTGTTTGTCCAGGATCCTGTTTGTGCATGAGTGTGTGTTCCCGGTCTGTACGTGTGTAGCATGTTAAATATCAGAATGAAAGAACTGAATTTTCCTCTGGGATTATTAAAATATGGATTCTTTTTTTAAGCTTCCAAGAGAAAATAGAAACAAGAGTATGATTCCAAGCTGGCTAAAAGCAAGTAATCCAATGAATAATAAATAAAAGGCAGGAATACCAGAGCAAATATCAGCCACTAAATTTAAAATAAATGTATCCTGATAACATTTTTTGATATCGTCCAGCCCTATGTTATGGATTTGAAAAAGTAAAAGGTGTGACACAAAGTAATTAGAAAGAAATGTGTATTCCAATTTAAAACAAGGAAGGCCAACAACTTGATCAGTGGAAAGAACTGTGAGTAAATATTTTGTTATGGATGCATCTCATAAGGAATTCACTAATCAAATGCATAGTTTTAAAAAAATGGCTGAGCCGCCAATTATCTTATTTGTGTGTTTATTAGAAAAAAGGCTGCAGGGGATATAAAAAGACTACGGAAGAAGATTAGGGATTAGGGATGGTCAAAAGACCATGAGGATGAGGGGTTATAAAACAAAAACAATTTGCAACGTAGGCCACTCCCAAACCATTTTGTGCCATGTAAATAAGTAAAAGAACTTGCAGATCTGATGGAGACAGTGTAGGTCAGATAAAACAAGGCAGATTTGATCTCCCTTTCTCCAATTATAACTAACACAGGCAAACGTAAATGCTGCTGTCTTAATTAGATGTATTTTTTTTTTTAATCTAAAGAAACATTGTCATTATAAAAATAGTTAAAACGGTATAGTTGTAGCCCTTTAGTTTCGAAGCCCAATGCCGATTTGCGACAGTTTCACAAACATACAGCCGTCACGCTTTACGGCTTGACGCCTCGCACACACTACCAAGAGCCAGGACATTACCAGGAGGTAAAACTAACATCCCAAACTACTCTGTTTTTATTTGACTTGCTCACATTATCAGCTGCTTGTATTGCCCCGTTCGTCGTATCGTGTAGCCCTTACACGAAGCCGCACATTAGCTTTTCTTTCTGCTAACAAAGGTAAAGTTTTGCCAGCATGCTAACAGTAATTCAATCTGTCTAAACACACAAACTCTACAAGTCAACACAAACCTGACCGTCCAAGAGTTACAACAACGTGTTTCTAAGTCGTATTTGTAATACCAGTGCGTTAAAAGGCTGCGTTATTTCTGAAGTTATTGTTCATTATTCAACATAAGGTTTAGTAAGTGAATTGTACAAACACAAAATGTTTACATGAAATCGTGCAGGACGTGTTTTTTTGTCTCTAGTTAAACATTTAAATATTCCAGCTTTCTCTCTTGCTTATTTTTTTTTTTTTTAAATACTGAAATGACTCAATATGTTGTCTGGCTGTAAGCTGCGTCTGTCACTCACTCAGACATGCGCATTGGACTTCCCAGTGCAGACAAAGTGCACGGTGGATCCTTGAAAGCTTTAGTTGTGGTGAGTGTGTGTTGGTTTACTTTACTACTTTATGAATCATGCTTACAAAGCAGATGTCTGTAACGCACCACGGTGAAGCCACTTCATGTGTTCAGTCCATGTGTATCAGCTGGATGAAAACATCACACACACACACACACACACACACACACACACACACACACACACACACACACACACACACACACACACGTAGAGACAGGATGTAAACATGTTTACTGTCTAACTTTACCACCAGACAAAGTCAACACACACACACACACACACACACACACACACACACACACACAGTATGAAACACTACTATGAAGAAAATATGTGTGCAAATAAATCCTTGCAGTGGTTACACACGCTTTTTAAGTTAAAAAAACAGTATGAGTTCAAATTGTATCCATTAAAATGAACTGTTATTTGACGCAGTCCATCTGTAAAAGTACACATGGATATAACATAATGACATTAGGCATCATTAAAAGTACACAACGCAGTCAATACACAAACAGTGAGCTATTCATATATGCAAATGCGTAAGAGAACACCTGTTTAATACTTTCAAATTAAGCTGATCATCCCTCCTTTTATCAGTGGGCAAGCAGAGAGCCCAACACAGAGCGCCTGAGCTAACAGAGAAAGTTCATGCCTTTAGAATACCCCTCTAACTGGATCTTGCTTTGTAGGACACCTCCTGTTTTTCCTTACCAAATTTGATGGCAAAACTCAGAAACAACAATCTATTGTTTCTTTTTAATGCAGCCACAGTCGGATGTCTAAATTTGCTACATTATCTTGGAGTAGAGAATGCATCATAACCCGTTTTTAGCAGCACAAAGGCAGTCAAACTTTTGCCGGGAATTTGCGTCACTATAGTCAGTCATCGCTTTAATATAGGTTAAGGAGATGAATAAATATCTTATCATTTAGCCTTTCCAACAGAAATGATGACACACAGAGACTGTTTACCAAAATAAAATAACATGACAGCAACATGCTTAAAATATTGAGTCAGCTACATAAATGTCTTGGTCTTATTTATTTTGGACACAATTTCTCTCCGTTGTTGGTTTTGGTTTCATCCTTTTCCTCTTTTCTACTTTCCTCTCCTAGACTGTGCTCCTGAGTGGGTTTATGTTCCAGCTGCTGCGGACCGTCGGACTGAGGGCCTTTTCCATGGCATCTGAGACGTACACATCGGGCACACACTCTGCCGCCTTTGTCACCTGCCCCAACGACACGGTGGCTAAAGAATTGGCCAGGTGATCAACGCAGAAACTTCCTGTTTCTGTTTTATAGGAGTGACTTGACAATGACAACTGATAATTTATTAAATTAAATATATTAAATATAAAACACATCTTTTATTGATGTCTGTCCATGCTTGTCATCTCTGTGATTACAAGTAGAATGATCTCATACAACTTTTCACCCTGCAAGATCTGAAGACCAGAGAACAGGAGTTAGTATTCTTGCCCATTCTTACATGCATACTCTTTGACCTCACAGGGGGATTGTGGAAAAGAAGCTAGCTGCTTGCGTCAACATTGTCCCAGCAATCACATCTGTGTAAGTTTTGAGACAGCTGCTGTTTAGTGTAATGCTAAGATGACCAGTCTGTGTTTTCAACATTTACACAGTGATGTGGTTTAAAGACAAGTCATGTGTTTTTCCTCTTCCTTCAGGTATGAATGGCAGGGTAAGATTGAAGAGGACAATGAGGTGCTTCTGGTAAGTGTTGACCTATGCCCTTTCCACACACACTTCTGAAAATGTTTCTTTAAAAATACAGAACAGCCTTTCTCTGACGTCCAAGGTTGCCCTTTCACACAACACACATGTCCCTTCTTACAGGAAGGAGGGGGGGGGGAATTTGATGTTTAGAACATAGACAAGATGCCAAATGAAGCAACAGTCTTGATGTAGATGACAGCCTTTGCAATTTATTATGCAATACTATGTGTCATTGTAGGTTTTCATACGTTCAACAAATAAGTGGAAACATTTCCTGACATTTTCAGGATTTTTCTTAATGTATGTATATTTGTAAAATTCTATTCCTAATGCAACATTTCTGCTAAATGAGCTTAACTAGTGTCATTAATTCTATCTACCCATATCCTTTTACTGTCACCATTATGGCTGCTTTTCAAACCACAACAACTTCAGAGTACTTTAGTGTATTTGGAATAGAAAGATGTTTTAATTTTAAAACAATATAATTCACAATTTCTTTAATGAATTTCTCTTTTCTTTTTAAATCAACTTTTTGGGCTAATCAAACTTAATTTCTCCCTCAGGTAGCTTTATTGGCCCAACCCTATAATTGTCATTTCTCATTACATGTCTAAAGAAATCAGTCCGTCTGACCCCTTGTCTCTTGTTTAGATGATTAAAACAAGAAGTTCCAAGGTGCCTGCTCTTGCGGAATATGTTCGGTAAGTTTTGTTTTAAGCGTATGAGAGCAGACCACGCCCTCCTTTATCTGCTTTGACTCATGTAGTCAAAGAGGATGGATTTAATTAATGCTGCTTGTGTATCCTGTGCACTGAACTGGCTCATTGTCCTCTGCAGCTCGAACCATCCGTATGAGGTGGCCGAGGTCATCAGCCTGCCCATTGACCAGGGCAACCCGCCCTACCTCAAGTGGATAGGAGACATTGTCCCTGAGTAAGAACACAGTGATGGATGAGTGGATTGATTAATTAATGGACAGGTTAAAAAATATTGACAATTTCAGCTACTGTGTTCCTTTTTATAAGACAAATCCAATATTTAGACACCCTCAAGAAAGTTACCAAATCTAAAAAAAAATAGTGTCCATCATGTGAAAAATATACAGAAGGTAGTCACTTTGTCTTGATTCTGAAATGACTAAAACTGTCTTTTTTTTTAAAGTGTACTATTATTTGAGGCTGATAATATTTTTCTCTGTGTTGGCCTACAGAGGGCAGCATAGGCTTGTTCTTAAAAACCTGCCTCTTCTGTTTTGTCAAAGAATCATTTTGCAATAAAGTGGAGGATTGTTTTTCATTGTTTGTCCTCTGGTTGATGAACATCAAACAAACATTAAGTTAAGGTCATAATGACATTCATCACAACGGTTACATGCATGTCATGAACACACTCTTTGAAGTGATCACACACAGCACAGTTTATTAACCAAAAAATACATTTAAATAGCAATATCAACTGTAAACATATATTTATCAGCATCTCACCACAGCACACTTGGCTTGACTTCCTCGACAATACTACTAATAATACACAATCTAAATACAAATATTTACTCATTATCACTGACAAAAAAGTGGATAAATTCAGATTCCCATGTGGAAAGTTGTCTTTGTAACATACTGTAAGCAACTCAGCTGATGCTTTTGACTGAAATCCATGAGCCTTCTAAATAAAGACTTCTCATTAGTCTGACAAACACAGGCTGGCCCTATTTTTGTTTTACTATTTCATCAATGAAGAAATCGTGTGGGCTGCAAATCACCCATAGAATGGTTATTAAGGATGACAGAAGTTTCTGTGTCAGGACCTTTCTTTTTTGTAGAATATCACTTTTTTTTTAAACATGAGTTCTTAATTTAATTGGAATAAAACATACACCAGATTTGTTCAAAGGTTTGTGAAGTTTTCTCACTATGAAGCACATTGAAGACAATACATCCCACAATATATATTTGTATAAGCTTACTTACACCATCGTGTGTAGAGAGTACACACTTTAGGAAGTAAGCTTAAGCATGTTGTTAAAAAATGTAAGTTACAACGATATGTAAAATGTTGGCAGACACATCGTGGGTGTTCAAAAATGGCTCAACAAAAGCACTACATTGACTAATGAAATGTTGGCCATTTTCAACAAATCGTGTTGTTTTTAAGGAACAAATAAAAGATCATCCTTGATGTAGAAGAATGATAAAGAAATCTTTGATCATGATTTTGGGGCTTTGTCCATTGAAAGGCTCCAGAATTTGAGTTTGCAAAATAATTTCACTCTTCCAAAAAGTTGTCTTTCAAACACCAGTGTTCCTCTATTTTTTAGACTTACAAATAATACTTGCAGGCATTTTCCTTTGCTGTTTTTCCAAGCAATGCATGTATTAATACGTATATGTTATTTTTACATTAGCTTCAACATAAGCAATATCATGACAGCCAGTTTTCCTTTTCTAAAAACCATGGCAAAAACAAACAAATCTCACCACAACCTCTAATAAAAACGGTCTCCACAAATGATCTAAATCTAAACCATCATTACTACACAACAGTTGTTTGTAATATTTAAAACAATATATTTTTAAATAACACGCAAAGGACAAATAACAAAAGAACCTGATAATAGTTCATCAGCTGTTACAGATAGCTGATTTCCAGCACAGAGTTTTTGTCTGGGAGTTCTTCAGCTTGTGACCTATTTCTACTTTTGTTTGCCGAAGAGGACACTGCCTCTGCAGGATCAAAGTCTGGGCCTTCATCAGCCAGGTCTCCATGTTTGTCAATCTGTCCAGAGTGTTCTGGCTCACACTTGGCCCTTTGCACAACCTGTGTCTTTGAACCCTTGGTTACTCCATGGTGGTTTCCGTTTTGGGACGTTTTGGATATTTCACTCATCTGTATGGCCCCTTCTGTTCCAGTGATTTCCCCCTCTTCCACCTTTTCACCGCCGTCTTTTCCATGCACATCTATGACTCCTTCCCTTTTTAATACTTGGAGAGCAATACCACCCCACTCCTCTGTTGGTCTATGCACCTCAGTTGCAGCCCTGTTGCTGTTCTTAACATGACGTGAATTGCAGCACAGGGCCTTCCTGAAGCCTCTCTTGAAGTTGTCAGACAAAAAACCATAAGTATTGGGTTTGCACAGCTGTTCGCATAGGAGAGCACAACAACAAAAAAGTAGAGCCCCCTGAAGTCCCTAGGCAGGACCACCTGGAGGTTGACGATGTTCAGAGCATAAAACGGTAGCCAGCAAAGGACAAACACTGCGACCACAACTACAACCATCCTGGTGATTTTGCGCTCTGACTTTCTGCGGCGAGAAGATGTAGCCTGTGCTCGTTTTCCAACGCTGCGCACCTGTAAAAGAAAAAAGAAATCACTTTTCCAAGACAAAAGAGATGCTTAGGCTCTGACTTATCCCCTCCTTCTGCACCGTAAATATAACTGCAGATGTAACTTTGAACCTGTGAAATATCCTGAATGGAGCTGTTCACAGTAAATAAGAGTAAGATCATTTTGACATCTCTCAAATGCACCAGATGATTCTGTCATTTTTCAGTGCTCTGGAATGAATATAACATATAATGGTATCAATCCTGTTTTTCCTTCTTATGTAGTTTTATTCATGAAGGAGGGGTCATTATGATATGCAGAAGAAAATGTTAACAGTAAAACAACTTGAAATATGTGGACAACACCATCTGCATGGCAAGTACTTTCTAGTGGTTGGGAGAAAAAAAACATTTTGGTTAAGTATACTTAAGAATACTTTCTTTAACATTGTTATATTAGAGCATCAATGCGTATTCATGCTGTGAAAAATAATAGAACAGGCATGCAGTTAATATTTGTATATTGTGGTGGGTGGATATTTTCTCTCTGTTTTCCACAGAATCAAAACATAACTCCTCCACTGTATTCTTCATTATTTCAGTTCAGATGTTGCCAACATCATTAATGATAACAGCAGGAAACAGCAATTATATGGATATGAGAGTGGGCCAATGTGTTTGTGTAGGTTGTTAAGGACGCTGTTACTGCCTCAAAGGCTTTCTCTGCATTGCAGCATTATTATTTGAAAGAGTTTCTTATGTTTAGCATCATGACACTCCTGGTGGACTCCAGTGCAAACACGGAGGAACTCTGCAAGAATACATCATGTTCTTTGATAAAATTCTGAATATACAAGCCTGTACTCATACACAGCTTAAGGGGAGAATTTTGGTCAGAAGTCTTTCTGATTCTGTGAAATCAGCTGCTGGCTGTCGATACTTCATCTCTTTTCAAATGGTCTAAAACAATTCATAAACTTTGCTTTTGAACATTCAGGAACATTTGTTTTCACTCCGATTTTGAGGTATTGCTTCACGGGACTTAAACTTTGATAGATGGGCATCTTTAATATTACAAACCAAACCTCCTAAATCTGTCTGTGGCAGCTGTACCTTGATGACGATCAACAGGTAGCACAAGCAGATGACCAGCAGGGGGCAGAAGAATCCCACAGTGCACGTGTACACGATGAAAGATGTCTTCCACACTTCTGCAGGCTCGGGCCATACAATGCTGCAGTTCCCATCATCCTTCAGCACGTCGGCAAACACCACCACCGGCAGCACCACCACAAAAGACCCTGCCCAAACTGTGGCACTGATGGCCTTGGCCACTCGGGGGCGCCTCCACCAGAAGGAGCGAATTGGGTGCACCACAGCCAGGTAGCGGTCCACTGACATCACAGTCAGACAGAAGATGCTCGTGAACTGGTTGAAGGCATCCACTGTCATGACCACTCGACACATCAGCGAGCCAAAGGGCCAAAAGAGGAGAGCGTTCTGCACTGCCAAGAAAGGAAGGCCCAGCATGAAGAGCTCGTCTGCAATGGCTAAGTTCAGGATGTAGATGTTGGTGACTGACTCATTCTTGGTGTAGTTTACAATCACATGGATGACCAGAGTGTTGCCCACCAGGCCTACTACACACACTATCCCATAGATGAGCGGGATGAAGATCCCAGCCAAGCCAGGGAGTGACTCTGGTTCAGGTTTGGTGCAGTTATGGCAAGTGTCGTTAAAGAGCAAGGAGCCGTCACTTTCGCTGAAGTCCAAAAGCTGTTCAGACGGAGTGGAGAGGGGCAGGAAATGGGTGAATGGGGGATTGGAGTAGTTGTTCCATGCTGCTGAAGGGGTAACATGGGACAACAAGGACACTTGGGTGGCCTGGATGAGCTCCATGGAGACAGTTATGGGTATGTGGCAACAAGTGTGGATACGATCCCATTAGCAACTGGTCAACTGTTCTGCAAGACAAAGCCAAGTCAATTAATTTCACACTTCAAACAGAAACACAATCTAAAGGTTTTCACATTGAGCACTACAGGTATGTGGGACAGAAAGCCTTTGTTGTAATGTTACATAAGGACATTTATAACATTCTATACATCTAATGCAGCATTTAGTAATTTACATCACACATGTAATGTGACTGCTCTTTGGTTCCACATCTCAACAGTACCCAATGATAACAAAGTAACCCCGCACCCCTGTTCAAATATTAAACTAAAACACTGTGACCACACACCACCAGTGAGTTAAAACACTCATACACATGAATGTCTTTACTTCAAAGCAGGATTTGTAGTTATTATAGATTTTCAGTACTAGGAGGTGGTTCACTTCACTTACAGGGATATATCACCATAGTAACTTATGCAGCTGACCTTCACATGACAGGTTATGTTCAGGAAAGCGATCAACCTTCAAAAAAAACATTCTAGCGATCAATAAGTTATCTCAAGCACAGAGGTCTGTGCCTTTTTTGTTCGGTCATTTGGGACGTGTCCGACTATATTTTGGTATTTTGATATTTTGGTGTTTTAGGTGTGGCATGAATGAACCGAAGCAGAGTGTCAGACAATTCTACTACAATTCACTTCACTTAGCGACGTACATCAGAGAGTAAGTACAACACAAGCAAGGAGCTAGAAAAAAGGGAACAACGTCAGTAAGAGCAAACGATCAGCTTTGAGTCCAATTGGACACACAGGTAATGACAGGCATTGCACAGAGGCAAAGCACAACATTGAAGGCAGTTGTGTGTGATGCTATTTACAAGGCTGATTCCAGTTTTTATTTTGAGATAGACCTAGCTCCAGTCGGCTCATTTAACTTTAACTCTGCTTTTATTGTGCCCCTGAACATAGAACAAAATAAGTTGATGGGGAGCTTGGAAACAAACAGAAACAAAGCTCTCCATCTCTCAGCCCTCTGTCCAGTTAAAACATAAATGTGAATGGGATTTAGGAAATGCACAGATATGAAACTGTGGAGTAGGTGCTGTGTAGCTGTTGTGCATCCTGTGTGTGTGGATTAAGCTCAGTGGATATTTGTTGTGAACTTGTATGACCATCTTTCGAATGCTTCCTCTTGATATTAGGAACATACTGCACCACACTTTAGACTTTAGGTTTTAGGTGGTATAAGGCTCAGTAGTTTTCTGAGTCAAGATAGGAACGCACCACCTGCGCACTGGTTGTTAAAATGACCCCTGCGCTGTGCACCATGCTGCTTTGCGCCGGAAGTGTAAAGAATGGCTGTGAAATCCACAGTAATTTCCTGTGTTACTGCCCTGTTAATTACTGTGAATATGATTGCAGTACGGTACTGTGTAATATGTCTGAAAACACATTAATAAACACAATACTGTAGAAATCACAGTAAAAATCACTCAGCTGTAAATAATCACAGCAACCATTATGCTACTGTAGGAATTCACAGAAATAACTATAATGCTGTAAGGTATCATAGTAACCACCACTGTCTAAGGAATCACAGTAAACATTACAGTACTGTACAGTAAGTTACTTGTCAATTGCTGCCAGATAATTACTGTAATTTTCACAGTTTTTTTTTTTACAGTGATAGGGATCTTTGGCTTTCTGGTAGAATTGTTTTGATATGAAAGATATAAGTGATAGATATACTCATTGTGCTTTCCTGATATGGTCCGACAACAGACCAATCATTCTTTCAACCAAAGAATGTAAGTATATTTATTACTACTTGGAATTATTTATAATATAATAAGTAATTATCTCCATACTTCTCAGTTTGTCACTGTCAGGGTTGCTGCTGACACACATGCCACAAGAATACATTTGTGCAACTAAATCAAATGGAACAAAACAAAAGGTGTTTTTACAGAGTCCCAAAGGTCCCAAAATGATTAATTTTAATGTTGTGTGCACAAGTTCATATTTTGTGATCACAATTTTTACTTTTTGTTGGGAACAACACCCCTTTATCATGAACTTGCTCAAAGAAACTTGACTTATCAAGTTGATAACCATTTTGTTTGACCACCAAATGGCATGTCATTTGTTGGGGTAAGCAAAGCCCATTAACCAAAAAAACCCAAAAATGAACAGGGTACGTTGAACTTCCACTGTAGTACTGGCCTCAATATAACGTATCAATAACGTATCTGCTCTTAGGTTGATTGACAGAGAAATAGTCATTAAGCATCTTCATCCCTTTACCAAAATATTTCACTTTATATATAATATTTATAATATTTTATAGCCATGCTTTATTCATCATAAACAAAACGAAAAACATAAGCATCATACATCAAATTTAACAATGACTCATTAAATGTTCACAAAAAAGGGAGAGTTTAAATTGAGTTTACATTGAACATTTGTTAAAGCTATCAAGAGATGTGTACGGTCAAAATGGTCGATGCTAATGATGTTGACTAGAGTCAATAGTTTAAAAGTTGTTAAACTGTTGTAAAGCAGAGGTTGCAGAATACAAAACCACTAATCAACTTAACAACCCTCCTTCCGTCAAAACAAAAACAAGCCTGCACTGGAACAAAAACACAACACTTTTAGTTCTATTAGTATACGACTTGTTTATAAGGCTATAGTGGCTTCTTAATGACCCCCATGCCACACGCAGGCACACCCTCATCCCCTACCGTGATGCCTAATGAATGGTGCTCTGTTGGGAACACAGCGCACTGACCTGCGGAGAGGAAATAACAACCTTGACTTATATGTATTAATATGAGGATGATAGGAAGTAAAGAGATGAATTGTGCAACAGAATATGGACACAATGAGTGATAAAGTAAATCAGTGATACGAACTACATCAACAGGCAACACTGACTATTGTAGAATGTGTTTGGTTAAACAACAACTATGAGTTTTATTTCTTCGCTGTATGGGTTTCATAATCACAGTAAACAAAACAACATTTGGAAATAAATAGACATCTCCTTATCTTGTTCTTTTTCAACATCAAGGTTGAAAGATATACCACCTCCTAAAATGTATCTACTGTACCCTCAATAAATTAATCATAGCGCGCATGAATCTAACTCCTTTCTCATGTTAGATCTTGGATCTTGGTTTTCCTTACCCTGTTAAAGCGAGAGCCTGAACTAGCCAAAGATGCCAGAGAGCATTATGCAGTGAGATAACCTAAGCCACTTAATACTTTAAAATATGCAAGTACACACACTAACATAATCCTGTCAATAGACAAGATTAGTTATTTTGGAACCCAATCAATGCATCAGTTGGCTGAAATGGGCCTATCCCAGTTGTAAACTTGGTCCGCATTTATGTTTTCCAATATATGCTGAAATGAAAACCATTTTTTTAGAATGTATGTTAGAAAAACTATGCTTGGTGTTGTTTTTCAAGCAGAGCCCACTCTGACTCTAAGATATACAATAACAATACTCATAGCACTATCTGCAGCACATGTAGCTTCCCAGCAGAGCAGACAGTCTTCAGGTAAATTGGTTGACATTTACTGTAATATAAGAAAATAATGTATTTTATCATGCTTTTTGTTCTGAAGAGCAGCCTGAGTAGCCCTTGCATAATATTATCATTACAAAATCAGAGCACGATCCACCAGGAAAAGGTCTGTTTTCATCTCAAGAAGTCACTAACGTCTGCACACATCATTGTTGAATATTTATTTCCTGTTAAGGTTTGGGTCTCTTGATGATATTGCAAAGCGATCAGTTGGTCATGCATTACAATGATGTGAAGTCATTCACTTTAAATAATAGAAAAAGTGCCAATCAATATTTTGCCTCTCAGTAATTGACCTCCATAATTGATCATTGATTTCAGCGGAAAAATAACAACCATTGAAGGAAATAGGAAATAGAAAGTAATCAAAATAAAGAAAGATAAAAGTGTAAAAGTGTATTAACAATCAACTAGCACAAAAAATGTGTCATATTCACCATCACAATCCCTCTTAGTGTCAAAAATGGAAAAATAAAATAGCTTAAAATGTGTTTAGGCTAGTCTAACTAACTAAAGAAGATAGTTATGTACAAATGAATGAACTGAAGTTTGCTCAGCCCACATGAGTTTACAAAATCTGCCATAATGCCTCTGTGCAGGACTGCTGAACTAGGTTCATCTTGATCCCTTATTATGAATTATAAAAAGCCCTTTGGACCAATTTCCTGTGTAAATCTTATTCTAATCCAGCCTTGTATCGACATGATACTGTATGAACGATATTGAATTAAAATAACTACTGGAATGTCATTATTTTAGTGAATTTATATTTTTATTTTATTTTATTGTCTATTTGTCTCTTATTCAGTCACCAAAAAATGTAACCCCACACATTCAATTCTTTTTCAGAGCCTTATTTGAAGACGGGTACATTAATTGATTTTTTAAACACACACTAACACTTCCCCGGTTGCTCCTGACATCCAGGTTGGGCAGGAAAAAACCCTCGTCATTCTAATCTCTGGCACACACAATACGTGAACACTGACAATCAGTCTTGCCAGAAGGCATCACTTCTTTTGTCTGCCAATCCGTGGTCATCTCAATGAGGAACTTCCTGGGACATGTTGCTATGGGGATGTAAGGTCAAGAGAAGGTCCAAAAGGCCCTGTTCAGAGCAAATGAAAGACAAACAAGGGAGTCAGAATGAATGTTGATTGAAGAGGCGGTGCTCTTTACATTCACATTCAAAGGAAACAATGACATTTATGGAGCACTGTGTGTGAGTGTACCTGTGTGATATGTGTGTATATTATACATGTGTAAGTGCACAATGTTCTTTTTGTATCTACAGCTCAGGTACCAGGTTTTATCTTATCAATAAAAATGTATATCAGTTGGATCACAGCACTGAGTGGGTTATATCAGTTAATGTTTTTACACAGTTTATGCAAATAGGATCTTTTTTAATTCAGTTTTAGTAGTCTGGTTTACTATTTTTGGCTTGAAATGTACTCCAAAATTCATTTTTGTGATTCTATGTGTGCGACCCATTGTAATGTCAAGCATA